ATCTTCACCAGGCTGGTTGCATTTTTTACAGGCATGTTTGAATTCGTAAAAGAGCGCGTTGGTATTCCACTTTCTGTTACTCCGGCCATGGGGGGTCTTGGCATCGGCCTGCTTGCGTTGGCTTATCCGGGAGTGCTGTATTGGGGATTCACAAACGTGAACGAGATCATGCACTCCGGTAAAGACGCATCAGCTCCAGGAACTTCACTTTTGACACAGCTAGTCATTGCTAAGGTCGTCTCAACAGCGTTTTCAAAAGGCTCTGCTCTGGTGGGAGGTGTGTATGCTCCAAGCCTATTTATCGGTTCTGCGCTTGGCTCGGTTTACGGATCTATCATGGGTACTATTATAAACGCGGCAATACCTAATGCTGTAGCTCATCCGCAAGCTTATGCTTTGGTAAGTAATCTGTGTATCAGTCGGAGGAAAAGAGAAACTTACCTCTGTCCTTTTATTTCTGTGCAGGTAGGAATGGCAGCAATGCTAGCAGCTGTTTGCTCCGTTCCTTTGACGTCGGTTCTTTTGCTTTTCGAGCTTACCAAGGACTACCATATTCTACTTCCTCTTCTGGTACGTTCAGTTTTCTGGTGACATGACAATGTTAGTCTAAGGCATGAATCCGGTGGATAGGGAGCAGTAGGCCTGGCATTTTGGGTTGCTTCTGTTGCGAAGCAAAAGCAAATTATTGGAATAGCAGAAGATCTCGAAATGCAGCCTAGCATACGCCGGAAAGTCTGGCGGAGGAAAGGCGAGACAGACGAAGTAGAGCTTTGCACTGTGGAGGGCTACATTGCAGAAGATGAGATCCCAGAGGATGAGCTTTTGGACGAAATTAAGGTAAAAGTAACTTGCTTTTTTGTGGCTCCCCGTTGATGAACCTTTTGGATCCCTCAGGTTGCGCAGGCAATGACGAAAACTTACGTCAAAGTCCAAGCAACGGCAACGGTGAAAGAAGCCGTGGCTGCTATGCTCAGTGTACAACAACGCTGTGTCATCGTCGTGGATGACAATGAGCTCCTCGAAGGGATCATGACTCTAGCTGACTTACACAAGGAAGTGATAAGAGCGGCTATGGCCACATCCCGGGGAGACGTGACCGTCCTAGAGGTATACTTGTGTCCTCTTATTTTTTTCCAGAGCTGACATGCTTGCTTTCTCCACAGGTGGATAGCATGCTAGTTGCGGCAATCTGCACGGGCCAAGGCCGGACACTTGGAGACGATAACGAGTTACTGATTTGCTACCCTGACATGACCTTGAAGATGGCGCAGCAGCTCATGGAGCAGAAGCGATTTCATCAGCTGCCGGTTGTTTCCAGAGCTGGGCAGCAATGGCAAGAACGGGGCAGGAAGGTCGTTGGCCTTTTCTACGTTGACACGATCTCAGCCACTGTGAGGTATGCTCAAAACACTTGAAAGCTTGGTTGGTGCTCATGTCTCTTTTCTTTTCGTTTTCGCCAGAGCTGAGGCGCGGAAGAGGATCATGGCTTTGCATGCATTGAGACAACCAAAAGAAGACGAAAAGGACGACGTGTTTGGCCACGGACATTAAAATTGCGGGGGTACGTTGTATACTTGTAGATACGCGAGTTGATTGATTCGGGGTGAGCTGTGATATTGGCTTATACCTCGCGAGAAATTTTCAAAAGGTTTTAAACACATTTGAGCAGGTACTTCTAAGTGGAAACGAACACTGGAAAGTTAAGAAAAGAAGTCCTGATTAAAATCTAAGATACCATTCCGAGACATTAAAAAAAAGGGGGGGGTAAGAGTTTTTCTCTCAATCGATCTTCACTGACGCGTATATGGTGCGTACGAACCAGTAGCACGCGTAGAAGCCTATCGTGCCCGTGAAGACGAAGAAGCAGTAGGAGATGATGGCCATATAGCCGAAGTACAGGATCCCGGACGTGACCTTGGTGATCTCCAGCTTGGTGAAGAAGTAAAAGGTGGCGTAGAGGAAGAGGTAGAACGCCGAGGAGCCGGACGTGAAGTAGGCCCTCCACCACCAGTTGTAGTCCTCGCTGCAGAGCTGGAAGTAGCACAGCACGATGGTGATCTCGGCGCAGGTGACCATGAGTATCAAGAAGACGATGAAGAGGAAGCCGAAGATGTAGTAGAACTGGTGGAGCCAGATGGAGGTGAGGATGAAGAAGAGCTCGATGAACACTGCTCCAAACGGCAGGATGCCGCCGATGAGAACCGAGAAGAGCGGCCGCATGTACCACGCCTGCTCGGGTATCTGCCGGGGGATCTTGTTGGTCCTGACCGGGTCCTCGATGGCGGGCTTCTTGTAACCGAGGTAGCTCCCTAGGAAAACCAGAGGGACCGAGATGCCGAACCACAGGAGGACGAGCACGAACATGGTCGAGAAGGGGATGGCCCCCGACGACTTCTCGCCCCAGATGATCGTGTTGAGGACGAAGAAGGCCGAGAAGACGATGCCCGGGAACATGCACGCCGTCTTCACGGTGATGGACTTCCACTCGGTTCCCTTGAAGGCCTTGTAGAGCCGCGAGGAAGAGTAGCCGGCTACTGCTCCCATGCCCACCCAGATGAGCAGCATCACGGTCATAAGGCCGCCCCGGTTGGAAGGAGATAGGAAGCCGAGCAGCGCGAAGAACATGGTCACCAGAGTCATGCCCAGGAACTGGACGCCGGTGCCGGCGTAGACGCAGAGCTGGCCTGCGTGAACCGGGGCGCGGAAAACATCTCCGTGGACAAGCTTCCATCCGGTCTCCTCCTGTGCTTCTTCTTGCGTCTCCAGCTGGTTGTACTTGGAGATGTCGCGGTGTAGAGTCCGGAGCATGATCATGGCCACCATTCCGGAGAGGAACAGGACGATCATCAGCGAGTTGATGATCGAAAACCAGTGGATCTGGTCGTCGGACATGTAGAGATACATATCCCATCTCGAAGCCCATCTCACTGGACTAAACTGCATAAAAGAAAACAAACACGCAAAGTTACAAGGCGCAGAATTTTTCCAAAAACTTTCACCTGGAAGGCAACATCGTAGGTGAATATGATCTCCTCGTTCGCTTCAACCTCTTGGAAAGGTTGATCGGCACCAACGCGCCTTTTACCATCGCGAGAACAAGTTGAGAGTTTCGTGTCCGCGGGGCCATTCCAGGACTTCTCAACCTCGTGCTTTACACTAGACAATAGAAAAAGCATTCAAGAAAACGTCCGTGCGAAGGGACAGACAGACCTGAAAGGAGTGACTTCAAACCCGACAATACGCGATGTCTTATAGTTCGGATCTTTGTGAATGTGTACGACGAAAGACAAGTGATTGTAAATAAAATGCTTCTCCACACTGGCCTGCGAATAAACAATTGTTTGTGGTTGGCCCGCAAAGAACTAGAACCATAAACAATGCACGTACTTCATTGACATAGCTGCCTTTGAATCCGACGTGATAGCCACGGTCGTATGCCTTGTAAGACGGATCAGCCGTGGGTTTAAGTCTCGCCAAAGGAAGATTGTCGAGTATCCTGCAAAAGAGAAACATAAAAATCTCTTACGAGCCATGAAACGTGCTCTTACATGTTGACATGATACTCCTCGTTGATCTTCCTCTTGAACTTCCTCGCATTTTTCTTCGACAGCTTGTCCGTCTTACAGACGATATTGCAGTACGAGTCCTCGAGCATCCGGAACTACACCACAGCATTAGCATCCTTTTTCTTTTCTTTTTTTCTCCCTTGGCTAAAGGTAGAGATGAAACTCACCACATAAGGAGAATTCTCGATGCGATCTCCTCGAAGAACCTCGCCCAGATTCTCAGCGCTGTTGAGGACCTTCCCCGGCTTGCAAAATGCCAAGGAATAGTAATCATAAGGAAGTTGCGTCTTCACGGACGTGAGCTTGTTCACTTTGACCTGGAGCTCGTCCCCCTGGAACAAGAAAGCCAAGATCTAAGACCTAGTTCCGCAATGCGCGCCTCCCAGCGCTAGATCTTGCCCATTCCAACGCGGATTCGCAGAATGTGGGCAAAAAAGAACCGGATTTTCTCACCTGATTGAAATCCTGGGGAGCGACGCCGGGAAGATAGAATCCGGCGCACGGCTCCAGCAGCAGCGCCACGAGCAGTATCGCGGTGGGGATCCAGCGCCTCGCCTGCGCCATGGCAGCTCCACCCTAGCTAGGCACACCAAAAGAGAGAGGCCAAAGAACTGGGCAATGGCCGCCGTACGCTACGGAAGGCATATCTGCTCTCCTAATTAGCGGACTTTTGCGTCCATGCAGAGCACGCGGTTCGAATCGCATCACTTATAAAATGCGCTGATAATTTTCCTGGCTCTTGTGGATATTTTGATTTTGCTTAGGTTTATTAGCTTAGTTAAAGGAATATCCAAAACCATTTCTAGAAAAATCACAGGAAAAAAGATGTTTAATTAACGACTTGTGGTGTATTAAAAAACTGTAAGTCAGGATGGCCGAGTTGGTCTAAGGCGCTAGTTTCAGGTACTAGTTCGCATGGGCATGGGTTCGAATCCCATTTCTGACACCAGGTGGTTTTAATACATAAAAAGTAACTTTATAATTTAAATTAAATATATTTGAAAATAAATGGTTAGGAGTTAATTTAGATTATAAACTGATAACAAATTTTATGTAGGAAATTGAAAATCATTCATTCATTCATTCATTAGCTGTTTACAAGGTCTCGTGGCGCCAACCAAAAATCATAAAACCGACAAATTATAGCTGTTTTGATGATCTCGTGAACCACAACTCGTCATCCTTCTTGGCTTTCATTATTTGTACAAGCAAACGCTATCATTGCGTCCAAGGCTCGCATTGAGCTGCGCAAAACCAAAGCATTCGACCGTTTACCTTCCCAAGTTCGAATCCCATTTACTGTAACATCCTGCTTGCCAGCGATTAGTGAAAATGTGGCAGCTTGCATGGCGGCGGTGACTGCCACGTACCTCACCACCTCTCCCCATATAAACCCAACGAGGCACGAGAGGAGGTCCAACAATCGCTTTTAGACACACAGCTCGATTGATAGATCTTCCAGCACTCAGCTTTTGAGCAAATCTCTCGTTACGGTAGTATGGCCCAGGAAGCGCCAATCCAGGATACCAAGCAAGTGAAAGAGCTGCCAAGCGAGGAGAAGGAGGAGCTCGACCAGGCCGCGCGAGAGGGCCAGACGGTGGTGGCGGGAGGGACCGGTGGGAAGAGCTTGGATGCCCAGGTCCGTCTCGCCGAAGGTAAGAATCCATTGTTTCTCATCTTCCTTTGTGCATGGCTCTAATGCTACATTTTCATAGGACGTCACAAGGGTGGCGAGTCTCGCAAGCAGCAAATGGGCACCGAAGGGTACCAACAGATGGGACGCAAGGGCGGGCTGAGCACCATGGACAAGTCCGGCCAGGAGCGTATGGAGGAAGAGGGCATTCCAATCGACGAGTCCAAGTATAAAACCAAGAGTTAGAGATCATATAGCTCCGAACACTAATCACTCTCTCTCTTTCTCTTTATATGTGATCTTTACATAGATTCTCTGCAGTCTACTTTCTGTATGTTAGATTCTCTGCAGTCTACTTCTCGTATGTGATCTTACTTAGATTCTTTGCATTCTGCTTTTCGTATGTAATCTCTTAACTAGCTATGGAAGTTCTTGGTGAAAGTCCAAAATGCGTATAGTTATTAGTTTTGCCACGGGTCAAGCTGCATGGCGTGGTAGACGTGTTTACCTGGTTGGGTAACGTGGCAGCACCACGGGGGTGTCGGCAAGCGTATAAAGTGATACCTCAGTCGCAAATGGTTCGCCATTGGCTCATTCTCAGTACAGTGGAAAGCGAGTGAAAGAGTGCAAAGGAAACGAGAGATTTGTCGCGATAGGAGAAATGGCCACCAGGCAGCAGAGGAAGGAGCTCGACGAGGCCGCTCGCCAGGGCGAGACGGTGGTTCCGGGAGGAACGGGTGGGCAGAGCTTGGAAGCGCAGGAGCATCTTGCTGAAGGTAATAGAGGTTCTTCTCTGTTCTTCTGATTTGTATGTTGGCTTTCTCACTACTTTTAGATTTCTTCTCATGATTTCCTGAGTTTCTTAGATTCTAATGCGTTTTTGTTTTGGTTTCCTTCTAAGGTCGGAGCAAGGGAGGCCAGACGAGGAAGGAGCAGCTTGGGACTGAGGGCTACAAGGAAATGGGGAAGAAAGGCGGGCTCACCACCACAGAGAAGTCGGCCGATGAGCGCATTGCCGACGAGGGCATCAAAGTCGACGAGTCCAAGTTCAAGACCAAATCTTAAGTGAAGATCTCCATTTCCTTTTCCTTCTGTTGATCTTAAGTTCAGTGGCTGCTTGTAAACATTTCCATTTCCTTCTCCATGTAAGTAGCTTCAAAAGCTGTTGATGTGATCCAATGTTTCTCGTACCTCAACACAAACTCTCGTGGTTGAAAAGCTCACTTTCATCCAATGTTTTCTTCGTGTTCCTTCTTGTCAACGAATATACACAAGTGCCCAGGCACTCTATGGAATGCTTCCAAGGGCTTTGAGGCCAAGAACAATGCCAACACCCGCAATGTGGCCAACCACACCGAAGGCGACCGTGTCGCTTCCTGTGAATCCCGCGGGATCACCGGTTTGGAGACCCGAGTCTCTGTCCACCAGCTTCAACCCAGCCAGCGCCTGCCGGTTAGCTGACGGTGCCAATCCAAATCGCCCGGCGATGAGAGACAACGTCGTGCAAGCAACCATTATCTGGAAAAAAGAAAACAAAATCTTGCAAGTCAGTCATGGCAGATAGAAAATTTCTAAAACGCATTGTCGAATCGAAGTTGTCGTGAATAATCAAGTCAGTCATTGGAGTTCCTAGTTCAAGGAAGGAACATGGTTCCTACACTAGAAAAGCTATGCGTGAACTACGTACCAGATTCGTGGGTGATCCAATGAAGCCGCATCGTGCTCCGAGAGCTCCTTTGCCTCTGCATCTCAGCGACGGCAGGGCCTGGAGAATCATCCAAAGCGAAGTAATCAGCAAAATCCAACTCGAGAGAGTTCTGTAACTTACGAGGGTGGTGGTCTGAGCACGGCTGAAGCTGGTGCTGGCTTTGAGGCCCTGGAACTCACGACCAACAATGGTGCCAGGCAATGCTGCTTGTGTCGCCATGGCTGCCATCTCAATACCCAGAGACTCTAGAGAGGATAAAAGGTGGATTGGGAACAATACCCCCAAAAGGCCTTATCTTCACCTCATTGGCCGGAGCTAGGATCAGATGTTTTGCTTAGAACTCTTCTGTTTTAGCTTCAAATAAGACGTTGTTCCTACAAATAAAACCATTAGCGATCGAGCCTAGACCTGATGGGAAGCTTTTTCTAGTTCGCAGCACATTTTGTCCGAAAACTTATCCACCTAAAGTAACACCCTGCACAAAGAAGCAGACCTCTATGGTTTTTTTAGAGGATAAATATGAAAAGCCCTCTTTAACAGAGTTCAAGTGCATGGAGGATACAAAACCACGAACCTGCTCAAGGCACAAGTTTCTCCAACAACAACGCAATTTAAACAAGACAAGTTCTTTAAGCAATCTATACAGAAAAACACTTAGAAAACACATGTTTGTAAGACGCATAAAAAAGACAAGGAAACGCAAAATGTTACCTCATGAATTAAGCCGTGTCCAGCAGTGCATTGCACTCCTAGCCAGCACAAATCCAGAGTTTTCGTGGATCTGGAATCGATTATTCCAACTAACCAATACATACCAGCTTTTATATATGTACAGATTCTCTTTCTAATTGTCCATCTTATATTCCAGCGCCTTCACAGAGACTGTCGTCGGAAATTTGGCAGCTCATTGCATCTGTAGAGAAGAAAAAGACAGAAGAAAGAAAATTCAGAAAAATACCCCAAAAGTCGTACCGTGTTTCATCGTCAAGGCAGGAGTGGGCTCTTCTAGAGTTCCTACGACTTTGGCAGGAGTTCCAGCCGCTACACTGCAAGACTCAAAGACTAGTTGGAACAAGAAAATAACGAAAGAGAATCTAAAAAGTTAACCTGTGTGGAGGCACATCTTTAAGAACCAGTGATCCAGCAGCGACCATGGAGCAACGACCGATTCTTATGTTGCCTAGGATCGTTGCTCCAGCTCCAATGAGCACCCCTTCTTCGATTTTGGGATGCCTGTCACCGGCTTCTTTGCCCGATCCACCTAAAGTGACACCCTGTACAAAAAAAGCACGGAGTTTTTAGTGCATGGAGAACACAAAAAAGGAGAGAACGAACCTGCATCAAGGAAACTCTATCGCCTATAACACAAGTCTCTCCGATCACTACGCCCGTTCCGTGGTCAAGCATTATAGCTTTCCCGATTCGCGCAGCTGCATAGGACGTGACAAGTTCTTTAGTCTCGTAGCTCAGTATTTGAAGGAACAAAAAGCGTAGCACCTGGATGGATATCTACAGCAAACACCTGAAAAACTACAAATATTTCGTAAAACACCGTATACCCGGTGGAAAGCAAAAGTGCAAAACACGAAAGGTTACCTCACTGATTCTGCTTTGCAATGCCAGCGCCAACACTCGCTGCCCGCGATTCCAAAGCGCATGAGCTACTCTGTAGGATTGCAAAGCGTGATAGCCCTGCAAGCAAAGAGAAGAGGAAACAAAAAGAGTGAGCACGAAAGGAAACGTAAGCACAACCTTTAAGTACAGGAGAGCCGAACTGTAAGATCTGCACGATGGATCGCGACTTCTCACGGCCTACAAAGGGTGTAAGAAAACTAGAAAGAAAATAGAAGAAAGCTCTTTAACCTGGACATCCAGACGAATAGCTTCCTGGACTTGAGGCTCGTGCGTGAAGACATCGTCGAAAACGTCCAGGAGCTGCGTCGCCAAGAGGGTCACATTCTTCAGCCGGTTGGCGAGAACAAAGCCCACAGAGCGCTCGAAACAAGGATGAGCCAGTATACTAGCATACAGAAAACTGCTCAGAAGTGGCTCTTTCTCTGCCTGGAAAAAAAAACACACACACACACAAAAAGAGAGAGGAGAGAATGAGAAAGTTGTGATCGCAACAAGCAAGTACCTCAAGCCGTGCTTCGGCCCGGATTGCTGCCCAGATTGGATCGTGAGTTATAAGCTCGGAGAGATTTCTTCCACCTTCTTTTGGTGGCTTTGCACTGGAACAAGGTGGCGCTGACAATGGAGTACTTACGTGTGACTCGAGCTCTTTCACGGACTCGGCGGCTGCCTTGGCCGCCGAGACTTCGCCACCAACGACTCCATCGCCACAGTGATCATCCCCACCTCCACTCTGGATGTAGGCAGGGAAGACACTCTTCCACTGTTCTTCGTCCACGGCAGGAGAGCGAGAATCCTTGGCGGGAGAATGCTTGTCGATTCCCTCGCAGCTCGCCCGGCTCTTGTCCTCCTGCGGCTCGACGCTCTTGTGGGAGTACTGGCCAAACCCAAACGGCGCGTTGATCTCGCTCCCTTCGAAGCTGCTCAGGCTGGTGTCCTTGGCCTGCTCCGTGATCCTGCTCGCCCGGAAGCTGGATTGGTCGTCCCGGGCCCGAAAAGCCCCATTCGATCCATTTGGGTCGGCTGCTGCTCCGCAGCGGACGTGAGGCGACATGGCGATGCGCCCGTATCCCACGATCGAGCTGCCGATTCCAACAGAGCCCAGCCACAATGCCATCTAACGAGACTTACATGGCAACCCTACATACCTAGCCGGTTTAGGGCTCTTAGAAGTGGTAATCCCAAAATATAATACAGGCAAATGCTGGGCAGCCAAGTGTTCAATAGATGCACATCTCTTAGAATTGTGAATGCTCAGTACCGTGATTGAGTTTAACATAATCTTGCCATAAAGCCGTTTAGCATGGAAGCATTCTCTACTAGGGCATACGCAAAATGCATAGAAGAAACAATTTAACATATAAAGAATTAGTTCATGCTCTAACAGGTTATAACAGGCTATAACCACCAAGCATATCCTATATAAAATATAGTAAACATGGATATTTACCTTTAGAACCTTTTTATTAGGACAAATCTTACAGTTATAAAATGGGTGCATAATCACTCTTAAGAAATTGTTGTAGGAGCATGATAAAGGTTCATAAGATTTGTTATGTTTTTCAATATATGTTATACTTACATTCTGTTCAATCACCTCCAAATTGATACATAAACTATATTATATTTATAATTAATCAGTGTATGGAGAAAAAGGATTATTGTTTTAGAGGGATGATTGCTTTGAGAGTCTATATCTGAAAAGTGAAAGATCTATGCATTTGTGTACATGTTTTTAAATTTTTTTGCATTGAGTGGAATAGATACACCTACATTTTCCATGTGAAAAGAACTGATTATAAAACTAGCCTCAGTAACAATCTTTGAATGATTTTCTATCTCACAAGAATGTTTATCCTAGTGGAAATGCAGCTTTAAGCATTACAAAGTTGTTCATGGGCTCTTTTCTTTTCCCTTATTACCCTTTCTAAAAATATTTAAAATTAATTAAATATGACTTAACACAATTTTCTTTCACTTTTCTAACATCTAATGAGTAGAAGCAGCCATCAAAGTTTTGTCAGGTGGCTTATATGGTAGACTGTAAAAATCCCAATACCTTGATTTTTGTGTAAATCCCTAGCCAGTAGAGGAGTAGAGGAGCAATGGAAATTAGAAAGGAGAAGAAGCTTGAGAGGGTATTACAAGCTAGAGTTTCCATAGCAGGTAACAAGGTGAATCTTGGGCCCCTGCTAGACAAGGTGAAAAAATCAAGTGGCCACTCTAAAATTAGTAAGTCTATAAACTGGAAGGATGTGGCAGCTTACCACCATGGGCCTGATGTCAAATCAGCCCACCTCAAGCACCTCAAGGCTTTTGAGAGTGGCCAGGTCTTTGGTGCTACATTTGATGCCACCAAAGGGAATGTTGATCCAAATGCAAAGGCACTAATCCACTCTCATGTCAAAGAGGCCCTGGCCCATTTAAGGAAGTTGGCTTTGGATCCAGGAAATGCAGGCCACAGTGAAGGGGACAACGGGAAATTCCAAGAAACAATCAAGGGATTCTTGGGTCGCCTCCAGAGCAACCACCTCAAGGTACAATTAATTGATTAATTACATGGTTTACATAACTTTTAAGTACAGAGCAATAGACCACGACGACCTTCCAAGTATGCGCTTCGCTCTCACACACCCCACACACCTCGACCCAAACTTCAGCCTCAAACTCCCTTGGAGCGCAAGAGCGTTCCAGTCGGAGAGAGATTTCAAGCTGTAGTTCCCTCTACCGTGGCTGTCAATGCCGACAACGATGACGAGAACTCAAAGCTCTTTCTAGGAGAAGTGGTCTGGTCCAAAACAGAGGCGAGAAGCCATAGCGCTAGTATGTGCTTCTGCACGGACGATGGCTCGGAAGACTGTGTGAAACTACACGTCAACGAGCAATGCGGGAAGCTCAAGCAGGAGCTGGGAGAGGACGTCTTCCGGGAGTGGGGGTTCCACACAATGGGAGAGAGCTTGATCAAGTTGGCCAAGTGGAGCATGCGAGAGCAAGCCGAGTTTTCGGCAATTGTGAGACGGTGCCAGGGGGACAACGAGAAGAAGCTTTGGCCGGACCTCCAAGCTTCCTTCGCAGGAAGGAGGAACCGGGAGGAACTGGGAAGCTACTACTTCAACGTCTACGTGCTGAGGAAGAGAGCTCACCAAAACAGAACCTACGCACCCGACAGTGAGAAGTTTGATACTGATAAGGAGGACGACGACTTACTGGTGACCTGAGAGTCTTATGAGAGCTTCTTCTTTACTTGAGGCATGTTTTTGGATCCGCGCTCCTTGAAGCGATTCTCAGACTTATCTAAAAGGTAATAAACTATCTTATGTACACAAGAAAAACAAAAATACCTCGATCACCTATAACACAAGTCGTTCCATGGTCAGTTCGCGCAGCTGCATAGACGTGACAAGTTCTTTAATCTCGTAGCTCAGTGTCTGTAAGGAGAAAAGCGTACAATGAGAGGAGGAGCACGGAAGTAAAGCATTAGATGGATCACTTACGCATTTTGAAGAAACCATTGATTGTTAACGTAGCAAGAGCAGAGAGGTTATCTCACTGATTCTGTTTTGCACAACACTCGCTGCCCGTGATTCCACAGGATTGTAAAGCGTGATAAGCCCTGCAAGCAAACAGAAGAAGAAACACGAAAGAGTGAGCACCAAAGAAAACGAAACACAATCTTCAAGTACAAGAGAGCCGAAGTGTAAGATCTAGATGATGGATCGCGACTTCCAGACGAATAGCTTTCTGGCGTGCATGAAGACATCGTCGAGAACTTCGAAGTGCTGCGTCGCCAGATTTTTCAGCCGTTTAGCAAGAACAAAGCCGACAGAGCACGCAAAACATAAACTAAAGAAGAACTACTCTTTCTCAGCCTGGGAAAACACACACAAAAAAATTATGAAACTTGTGATCGCAACAAGCAAGTACCTCAAATCGCTGCCCTCGTGAGCTATAAACTCCGAGAGATTTCTTCCACCTTTGGGAGGCTTGGCCCTGAAACAAGGTGGCACTGACAATGGAGTATTATGTGTGACTCAAGCTCTTTCAGCGGCTGCCTTGGCCGCCGAGACTTTGCCACAACCACATTAATCTTAAGACACTCTTCTACGACAGGAGAACCCTAGATCGCAGCGCCCGGCTCTTGTCCTTCTGTGGCTCGACGCTCGCGCGTTGATCTGACTCCCTCGAAGCCGCCCGGAAGCCGATTTTGATTGCGAAAAGCCCCATTCAGCGGATTCTATATGTTAGAGAGATATTTATTTGTAAATCTTAAACTATGAAGCATGGGCTCAATTCGTTGTGTTTCTTACTTCTTCTTTTGGCTACAATGGATCAATCAGAAGGTTTTTCTCAATGTGTTAAGATTGTGCTGATTTTGGTGGCACTGATTGAATTGGCAGAGTCGATCGAGCATTGGAGTTGCTCATATTGGATTGGGTGACGAGGGGCGCGGCCTGCCGAACGTCACCCCTTTTACGCAGCTTAGGTGGATTCCTAAAGAGTATTGAGATTTGCAAATCTCCAAATATTATATGAATATTCCTAGAATCTCTAACAGGTGACTATGAGAGCATCCAGATCATCTCCCTCTTCTTCATGACCGCTGGGAGCTCTCAATCACTCATGCATGGAATAGCCCCCTGCAAGCTAGAAAAGAATGGCCAAAAGTATTGCATATAGATAGAGGATAAGGATGGATGATAAAAACATAAAGAGAAAATAGAAAAGGCTGTGGGGTCAAATTAGAACATGAACCCAAGAAAATAGAAAAAAGAAGAGATCACAATAGCTAAAGAAAAGAAGTAAGTTAGAAATGCGTCTCAAACCTAGATCTCTGCCTTGTGGGACTTATAGCACAATGTTACATATATTTTAAGAGCAATTTAGAGTTCAAATGAAAGAAAAGAAGAATAGAAGATGCATTAGTTAAGGATGTGAATCGATGAATGGAAGGTGAAAGGAAAACCATTGTTTGATCAATAACTAGAGTCCCCAAAAATAGCACACTACATGCTCACCACAACAATGTCGAAGAGAAAGTGGCAAGTGATCAATACTGAGAGATTATCTATACAAAGAACTATTGGTCATTAAGAGAGGTGAAATGATGTAAAAATTATTTCATAAGAAGGACTTAGATGCCTCTGCATGTAATGTTATTAGAAGTCTTAGTTTGTTGCTAAGTTGAAACCATTGCACTAATCTAGTTGTGTTTATAACTCATAAATAATAATGAATCTTTTGGTTGAAACTTTTGTCATGTCTAAATACCATCTAGATAGTAAGTTGAAATGAAAACCGTTGAAAAAAATGTGAAGCCCAGCAGTGGTATCATAGAAAAGAATGGGAGTGCCATTTGTAGGCAATACTATAAGAAATGATTAGCAAGTGATAATGGTGACTATAAAAATGAAAAGAAATGTTCAGTGAAAAATGATGAGAGTGATGGAGGGAAAACTAAAAACCCTAAACATGATTTAGAAAACTTAAAGCTTAGAGGGTAAAGTCTTATGAGGCTAAGAACCATAGTCCAAGAGCATTCCTCATAACTGCACAACCTGAAGAGAAGTGAAATAAAGTGAGAAAATTGGAAAAAGAAAGAAAAGGAAAACAAAACAAAAGCAAAAAAAAAAAAAAAGTGGAAAAAACACTTGGTGATAATCCTATCTGGAAGGGCATTGTTACAAGTGTGACAAAGACCTGCATTCACTATAAAGTGGAAAGAATAAAAGAATATGCTGAATGGTTGTTGATGTGAATGATCCAGTCTTAGAGTTGAGAGTGACTAGAGGAAGATTCTACTCCATGTCAAGACAACAAGAAAATGGTTGCTCCTCAAAATCACTACATTATAACATGTTTGTTTCAACTCACATGAAACATATTTAGATATAAAGTGTGTAAAGGAGTCTTTTGAAGTCCACCATAGAGATTTAGTGCTAAAAGATTTGGTAGAAAAGTTGTTATAAAAGAAAACTTATCTACTACATCAAATGCTTATAAGCCAAATGCATAAGATCCATGGTTTTCAACTTGTTCTAAAGGTTGAAAATCCTTCTCAAGCCTACTATGAAGCTTTTTTATTTGCTGTAGAAGTGAAAGCATAGCTAGATTAACCAACATCTTTAACTCATTTATACCAAGTATAGGTAGAATCTTTGTTGTACCTTGTGATTGGTTGGTCCTGACTAGGTTATGAGAACATGAGTAAAAATGAAAAGAGCATGTAAAAAAGTGATAACATTGTCTCATCCCACTTAAATCTTAACACCAACAATGTTAATGACAAAGCATCACTCCAATATCATCAACATTAAAGCAAAGCTAGAAAAAAGCAAAAGTGAATCACCATTCAAAACTCTTTAGCAAATAAGCTAGTTAAAGTCAAAGATACTATACTTAGTATTTGAAATTAATCCTTTAACAATACTCAATTATAGATAACACTTCATCAAAGAGTGATTCACCATGTCCAAGACTCAATGAAATCTAATACCACGGACTAAATGCAACCAAATAATATCGACAAAAGTAGAATTAATATGCTAACATGGAAAAACCATGCAAACTTATAATACGATCCTTTGCAATACCATTTGGTAAAGTAAATCTATCATTATCATCAAATGAAGCAAGTGTTAACAGTTCTCAATGAAGTCTACAAGCAATCACTAGTTGCAAAGCAATTAACAATCACTCTTCAACTTGCTTTCACAAAACCCAAAGATTAAACTCACCATTGAGTCCTATACTTATCCAGCATGAATGTAATACCCCAGGTATGAGATAAAGGTTTATAGACAAGTATGAACTAAATGACCACTTGATTCCAATTCAACCGCAATAAGCTCACCAACACATCTATCCAATAGCTCTAAGCATGCCTTGAGGAAGCTAGTTATACTTGATTAACACTTAGTCGAAACTAAAGTGAAGATCATGAGATGGACTCATACTGGTACACAACCTCTTGATAGACAAGGCTATAATATGGGTACCAACATTTCAACCTCAAACAATTAAATTGGACATCACTATACTCAGCCAAGGTGCAAGATTACCAAGACTAAGTTAGGAACAATGAGAGTTCACTACTCTTATAAAGTTTAATGAAATGCAAGGTCTAGCCTGCCACCAAACACAACGTTATAAAAAAATAGCACACCCACCTTTCTAAAAAAGTGCAATAACCATTTTTTTACACAAACTCCAGACTCTATCCAACAATTGCATTAACCCCAAAAGTTAATATCCCTTTCGGATTGCATCATATAAACTACTTACTAAGGTTTAAGTCAACCGAAGTTAACTCCAATCTTCACTAGTTTGTATTGGCTTACGAAAACGAAATGGTTTTTAAGTAAAATGATCAATAGATTAGTCATTAGATAAGTCTAAGAAAATTTGTGGAAAATTTCTCCTAAAGAAAGAATAACTCTCAGTCCAAGAATGTAAACTTTCAAGACTCAACCAACTTTTTCCTACTAACAACTTCACATAAGTTTACCTCAACATAAATTCTCATGACCCAATAATATATTTAAGCATTGAACATCTTGCCCACATTTCTAACATTCGACAATGATATTTGCAAAATGCAAAATAAACATCCAAGACTTGATTACAAAGACTATATATTTAAATATCTATATTGCATTAACACTCTTCTTCAACCACTTTCAAGATCCAATGTGAAGCCAAAACACTAAAAAAAAAATGATATAGAAAATTAAGGTTTAAGGAAAATTCCTCATCATTTGAAATAACAATGCCACTTCCACTAACACAAGTGTTAGCAATGCCAATGCCTCAACTTCACACTTTCACCATCCAATGATTTACTCTAAGTGCAACAAATCCACCAACAAATTATAGCAAATGAATTTTATAACCCTTTCTAACGCCTAATTGGTAACCTTCAAGGAACCAAAAAACCAACTTAATGTAGCGCACGTGGTTTTGACCCTTTATCCGATGGTGATTTACCATAGGATAACACCACGAAGCGGAACCTAAACCCTCTTTGTGCCACATGACAGATGCCACGTGTCACATGCCACGTGTCCATAGGAACCCGAGGTTCAGGGCCTTGGGCCACTGAACGAAGGAACGGTGCCAAACTCCCAAGCATGGAGCCAAGGAGTGACGGAACCGAACCACGGAGCAACTCCCGAGCATACAGCCCAAGGAGTGAAGGGACAGCAGCCCAGAGCGACTTGGAACAGTCCTAGAGTAACCAGCATCCCAATGCCAGAACCAACACGCAAAACGGAGCTAAACGGAGTTTGGCGCTATTTTAGCATACTGGTGGCCTAACGCGAGGATATGGGTACTCCACCAACTAGCATGGAATGGAACTTGGGCTTAGACCTAAGCCGAACGCAGAACAAGGACAAGCACGCAAGCAGGAGCTAGACTATGCCTCAGGTTGGTCGGCCATGCCCGACCTACCCACTATCCCTACTATACATTTGGAACCCCCCACAGCCCCCCCCCCCCCCCCCCCCCTGAGGAACACACGCTTTGGGCTTTCACCCCAAACCTCCCTTAGTATCAGGAGTTAGTCTCTGGGACAAGCTCGAAACTTACTAAATATGGAATGTCTTTAGATTGCGAATTTGGACACGGGACAAACACCATTATATTCAGGCCGATCTCTACATTCTATAGATATGCCTAATGAGCAAATCTGAACACTTTCCATAAATAGCATTTGGGACTAACACAAAGGGCATGATAGCGAGGGTGTTTGGCAGACACGGTAAGCTATCATGTAGCGATATTGAGGGACTAATCTCAATACGCGAGGGTTCTTGTCACTAGCAAGTGCAAGACAAAATGAGACGGGAACTCCTTACCGGGCTAAGTATGCTTAGCTAATAACACGTAGGAATTCCGTCCTTATGCTCGTTCGGTCTAAGTACACTCGAAATGCCCAGTTAACTCCACTAGCACAAGAGGGACTGATAAAGGGTCCAGCAATACCGACCTCCCGCCATCGTGGCAGTAAGGTAAGAGTGTCCGTAAGGACTGGTCGACAGGTAACTTTCGATACCCGAAGTCACATTCGCGACACTCTCCCCCCCTAGGGAAGATTGACGTCCTCGTCGATGCATACTCCAGTCTAGAATACCGCCAAGGAAACAACTCCAGAAAAAGTTCACGGTACTCACACTATGTGAGAAATGCATCAA